CTGAATTATCTGCGGAACAGGGTTATCTGTTTCGACAGCATGTCGATAAACCTCGGTATTGTGTTTTCTATATGAACATAGAAATACTGAGTTTCCAACCAGGCTGACACTCGGCTCTCTAACGTCAGCCCGTCTTACGTCGGAAACTGAGGGATTCATTGTGGCTTGGTCTACCGTAGATGCGTGTGGTGAGTAGAGGTTCCTCATGTTAACTGCAGGAATCACTCATGTACTTATTTTCAGCATGCGATTTCGGCCTTTATCCACCGACATAGTGCGGCATTACAGGTGGTATATTACGATCTAAGGCACTCGTACGTGGTAGACGAAACACCCGTTGTCCAGAACAAGATATGTCAAATTTACAGGAACTACTCGTTCCCGACAGTCAGGTTATTCCAAGCTAACATAGTCCTCCTTGTTCACAAACTCAAGGTGCTGTATGTCATCGAGTTCTTGGCACTTACGTGAGGTATCGGAATCCATGGGAAGACTGTCCAGCATTAGTTCTTCCGTTCTCCACTACTCTGCCATACATACACTCCAGACTTAAGAGCTCCCCCCTCCAGTTTATATAGGAGATACGCATGGGGAACGGACAATCTAGGATGAATACTTTTGTGAAGATTCATCATTTTACGCGTGGAAGACCAGATCTTTCGGAGTCAGTGTCTGTAGTTCCGGCGAAGACATTCCTTTATTTGTTTTATATCCTGAATAATATCTCTCCGATATCCAGATATCGTAAGATGCTTTCGTCTGCAAGCTGCTCTTCTTCAGAGACTTTCCTTCCTCTCTTGAGTGTATGACTGCACATTTATCCAATCCGAGTTCCATGCCAATAGCCCGCGTGTAATCCTCGACCACCCTAAAAGCGTTTTGAAGTTCACTTTGTTAGTAAAACTTTTTGAAAAAATCATTCAATATTGTAGAAACGCGATGCCTACATAAAACCTGGAAAATATGAAATAAGCTCTTAAGGGAAATTAGTATTAGAATCTGAGAAACTTGTGAAAAAGCTTATTTTCATAGATTGCAATTCATTATTAAAAAATCTCTTTATTCTTTTCTCATTTGTTTATTGTAATAATAATAATAACAATGTGCTATTGTTCGCAAATTATTGATATACAACTTATTCAGATAGATATTTAACAATTTTAAAGGAGTTACATTTCAACTAACGTATTACTATTATTAACGATTAATGAAATAATGGTTATATTTAAGTATTTACTTGGAAACCAAAACATATGCAAATGAAACTCTCAAACTCACGGTAATTTAAAGAATTCATTTAATATAAATAAACACAATGTTTAGGGGGAATTGGAGCCACTACTCTTTCAACCTCCTTTATCATTGTCTTTGCTAATGGATATATCTTCTGTCTTCCTTCAAGAACAATGACGAAGGACTTAAGACTAACAGGAACATTATATTAATTGGCTTCTTGCATGCTGCGTAAAACTAAAAGCGATTATTGTAACGCACAAAGCTAATGCATACAGTGATGATGCAAATTTATTTGAATATAATCAATTTAAAAATAAATAATTATTTTTCTTTGTCCCGAAAGTAAATACCATAGCATAGCAATAAATGTCGAGTTTATCATTACCCTCATTAGTACATAATGGGTAACAGAAATAACCATGAATCAAGTGTAATATTGATGTTTTATATTTATAGCAATTTTATTCTTTGAGACTAAAACGCCATAACAATAAAATAATTGGTTCATGAGATGAACGCTGGTTTGATTCTTAGCCACTTGTGTATTAGATGATGGTGCAAACACATTTATTTTGCCCTAACCTACATAAAAGGTTAGGGCAAAAACTGACGCTAATTTCTATTACCTACAATATAAAGAAATTTCTAGTTAATTATCTGCTCACAATCTGTAGTCCTAATTATTCCCAATTTTTTTAAATGCTTTATGTTTTCGAGAAAACAAATTCAGATATCTGTTCATGGTTTTTTGCTCATAATATACTATTCCTACAAATTGTAGGAAACCTGTTAATTAAAAAAGAAACACCCTGTAGATATTCATGGGATTGTAATTTTATATATTTTTTTTATCAAGAACGTCACTTTGAATAGTAATTGTTTAACAATCATTAAACAAGGGTATTCTTTGGTGAACATTTTAAAATACTTGATAAGATTAACATGTGCAAATATAATACATTCAAGGTAATAAGAAAGGTAAAGAGTGGCGTTTCCTCAATAAGTACAGCATAGCGCAAGCATTACCAAACAGATAAAAAGGTAATAAAGATGTATACAGGTATAAGATAATGTTTTGTTTTTATAAATCCAAGTTTAGGGCATTTTGAAAATTGAAATATGACAACTGACAATGCTGTACCGCACGAATAACAACTCGCAAGGCTGAAAATTCTGTAAGCAATGCGTACATCCTCTGTGTAACTGTCAATTATCACATCCATCCCACTATATTAACGATTATTCACTCGAAATAAAATAAACTCATTTGTTCGCTTTAGAACATATGCAAAAACCACAACAAAACAACTACATTTCACTCAAAACACAAATAAATTTTAATTACATCATTGTGAAGAGAAAATGTTCCCTTAACTAGTAAACGCATTTCTAGTGAATACAATCAGCATACCACATTCAATTACAAGAGTACATCCAGCTGCATATTTATATCTATTATGCCTACGGTGCTGTATCGAACACTGAATTTAAAATGTCTCAACTTCTGTTTACACGTTTACTTCGCCTGGTAGAAATAGAATTAGGTAGAATTATTTAAACACTACACGTGTTTTTCAGTACTTATAAACATTTATAAGTAGGGCTGTCAAAAAGTGTTCCGTGGGACAGTGGCGTACGCGAAATTAACTAATACGAGAAACAATAAACTGTTACAATTTATAACAATGTATGTAAAACTTACCCTCTTAACTAGCTTGATGATTAGCTTGCTTAACCCAAACTGGAGATGTGTAGCCATTTTGTAGCATCAGGTATGTTTCTATGGTTGTCTCCATGACTGATGCTCGCTTTGGTGAAAATATATTCTTATATTTTGAAAACGATCGTTCGACATCTACTGATGTAATGCACGCATACGTAAAATAGTTTTTGAACGCACTTAATATTTCTCGGGCTGCACCATCACATATTTGTCTTAATTTGGTAAAACCGGTGTCTTTATTTAACATACTTGCGAACTTTTCTTTAACGCGCTCATTTGTTGCGTCACCTATAGCATGTAGCAGTAGATTTACTTCGTCCACTATTTGCAGCGACTCCGCTAACGACAACGCACTGTTTTCTAATTTTTTTATGTTTTCATGTAATGGTTTATAGTTCTTCGCAATATTTTTTAAAGCTGTTTTAACGGAAATATCTTCGAATTTTGTTTGGCTTTCCTTAATAGCTGCAGCCTCATCTGGATTGAATTGAAGTATCACAGCTTTTATTTGTTGGAAATATTCAGTATAATAAAAAGCTGCCTGCAACTATGTTCCCCAACGTGTAAGAATCGGCTGTGGTTGTTCTGGAATACCGGAACACTTGCTATGAAATGCACCGAGACGTTTAGGAGATTTAAGAAACACTTTTTCTGTACTTGCTATTAATGCATCCACTTCTGGAAAACCTTTTCGAATAGTTTCTGCCACAAGATGTAAAGTATGCACTTTACACGTAACATGTAGAGACGTACAACCTTATTCTTGCAAAGAACGGTCTACCGAACACATTATCACGGCGCCATCAGTTACAAACATCAACACTTGACTTCTTGACAGTTCAAATTTTTCTAACGTCTCCAGCACCACCCTGGTAATTGTTTCGCTAGTACACTGACTTAGTCTTTTGCTAGCTAGTAACAGTGGAACTGTCGGTTTAAGAGGGTCCAGTACACGTACTATAACATTTAAAACAGAATTTTTTTTACAATCTGTTGTCTCATTAACAGATAACCACAGTCGTGTATTTTTTTAATTCACATTTCATCTTCTTTACCATGTCTACGTGTACAGTTGGTAGATAGTTACATAACGTTGTACGACTTGGTAACTTCACCTGGGTATTGTATTTATTTCAGAACTCTCGAAATGGTTGTTTATCGAGTATGTGCAGCGGAACATCACAGGCAATCAGCATTAATAGTAAATCAAACATAAACTGTGTTGTCGAAGGCACGCCATTTTTTTTATTATTATGGTGTACACTATTTACGTGAAGTCCACAATCACGCTTATCCCAGCACATCAAATCTTTCTCGCACAGTTTACAAATTATTTTAGCACCATCATAGAATAAATCCGGGAATGAATTTATTCACTTTGTCAGCAAATGGCCGTTTTCTACCCCTGCGTACGTCTGTCATGCTTTATTATTAAATTAATATCAACAATACAGTATAACAAATAAAATAAAAACACAAGAACAATATGCAATACGCCCAAGTGACTTAACGTGTACACAACTCGAAAGCTAATAATAGACTGGACTGGAGAAAGAGTTTCGCGGTCAAAGTGAATGCCGGCGACAGTAAGTACATCTGTATTCTACGAACATGATACAAAAAATGATTTGCAGCTTTATCCATAAGTGAAAAAATATTACAGCAGCTGGTACTTGACTTCAGTTATGGATATTAAAAACGCATCTATTGATGATTACAAGTGGTTAGGTTTCTGTTCTTTTATCTAACTTGTTAATATGTACATGACAAAGAATGTCGGTACCTACCAGTTTGACCGTTATCATTATGGACGTCTTAATCGTACGTTTTTAATTATGGCTTTAATTGCGAGAAAATAAACACAATTACTGATAAATTGAGTATTTTCTTTAAATCTACTAAAAATGTGTGAAATAATTCAATTTTATTCGATTATAATTTAAATTTTATCCACTTTTGTATTTTACACACATATTATTTTAAAAACTAGCAAAAAAAATAATGAGATTAAAAAATGTTAAGTAACAAAAACAAAATGTGTGGCTTCGTGGTCGAGCGGTAAGGACACTTGGCTTTCATCGTGGAGTTCCGGGTTCGATCCCCGGTGGAGGGGCTAGGATTTTTTCTAAACCAGAAATTAATCCCAGAATACTTATTTCAAATTTATTTGCCACGTAAAAAAACGTCGGCCTTTTTGACCGCGGTAAAGGGATCAAAGAAGCCGACGTTTTTTATGTTGCAAATAAGTTTGAAATAAACTGTACGTTCTTTCATTCTTATCGGAATTCATCAGGGGGTTCAAAAGCACGAACATGTTATTTAAAATATATTTTAATTACATAATTCAATAAGAATAAGAGTATAAAATATTAAACTATTGATTGTTCGGGCATGAATCTTTAATATTTGATTACTGTTTATTTTTATTATATTAAAAATTATTAAGGAATTTTTACTATATCAAAATTTGATGAGAAAATAATTAGACAAAAGGAAACAAAATAACTGAATGTTTGTTTTAATTTGTTACCAAAATAAAAACGTATTGTTTATTTTATTATTTGTAATCCTGATGAAAATAAACATTGTTTGTTAATTATGCCAAATTTGAGGCACAAGTTTTTATGGATATTTTAACATTGGAGTTTTAGAATATGCGTTGCAAATTACATTGTATTTACCCAGGATCGGTATTTAATGTGTAGCACGTACTAAAAGACCTATAAAAATAAATTCAGAAAAATAAATGAGAGTCATTTTATTTTATTATCGGTAGAGGTTAAACAGCCTCTTTTATTCTTTATTGATATCTTGAGGTATGAGGATACCAAAACAACTTCATTTTGTACATATAAAAATTAGATGACAATCTGCCTTTATATTAGATTATAAAATCCAAATCAACTAAATAAATTTGCTGAAATTTGTAGTTTAGTTTGTGTTTGATTCAACTGTGATACACGATGTTATTCAACTGAAAATATTAAACACTTACGAAATGGTCTTGGAATAAGTACAAATTGTTTTATTTATGAAAAACTATCACAACAGTTAAACGGCTGCTTGGGATTCTATCATACCCTGGTTGTCAGGTATGTTATTAAAAATGACAAGTACCTTTTAAACGATCAAACTGATATCATTAAGAAAAAATAAGTGTTTTTGGACGCACAAGAAATTCTGCCTCCTATGTCACCGAAGTACCTTTTGAAAATCTAGGATTTTGTGTAAGGTAAAGAGAGACGAAGCGTTACAGCTTATTGCGGAGTCCGAACTACATCTAGGGCATCGACAGTTTCATATCTCACCTTAGTTGGAATCAAATTTAAAACAAATTTTTAATTAGCCCCGCAGTGGGATCGAACCACCGATATTCGGTATTAAGTACGTAAGAATTAGCACTATTAACCACTCAACTACCGTCGGTGCCCCATGGCTTCAATGATATAGCTACTTCCTTCTTTTACTTTTTAATTTGGCACTTCTTTAGCTAAGTCAGTTTCTGTGGTACCACAAGGGTCCTAACTGGGACCCCTGATTTTTTTAATATATACTGCGGCTATTCTTTATAACAATGTGCGCTTTTGTGTAACTCAATACTATAATACCCTATTGGAGTACAGTTTCTTGCTGCCTCAATATTAGAGGTATTGTGAATTGTGATAACTCATCTTTTTAATAATTATGTGTTTTAAAAATTAATCCGTAGAAGTAAAAATTTGAGCTTCTGTATTGATTAGGAAAGTTAAACACATATAAACAAAAATAAAAAAGTGTGTTCATTTTATATACAGAATATAATAAAGTCCAAATACTACTGTATTAAATACACATGATATCCGAAAATTCTTTGGTCAATGAGCTATCATAGTTCTAATCGCTAAAGCAAATCAATTTAATGAAATTTATTACCTGGTTAATTTTTTTTAAGGTGGTATGGCTGCTCAATGTTTTGTTTCTAAAAAGTACACCATTGATCATGTTTTTTCTCTTGTAAAATTTTAATACCGCTCAAGCACCGATGAGCACTAGGGTCATCTGACAAAAGTTTATGTACGAGCTTAATGAGATGTGATCAATAAGCTTGTTTTTGATTATACTGATTATTATTCTTTTCTGGATTCTTACACCTGACAGTACCTAAATCTGACTCCGGTTCCCCGATTTGCTTTCATCATTTCCGTAATTTTTTCTTCCACGATGGTTGTTTTGGAGTGACTCATGTTTACTTTAGGCGTGCCTGTCTCACAAAGCAATCGTTAAATATTCGCAAAAGTTTGAGCAAAAGCAACATATGTTTACTCTTCAAAGCTACAATGTTTTTTATAAAAGTGAATTTTTAATAGATATAATCAAGTCGAAAATGGGCGTTTTGAAAATAATTACAAATTATATGTGATAAATGAATGTAATTGAAGCATTCGTTTGCTTCAGAGTAAAGAGTAAATTTACCTAAGATCGGGGTAGCAAATGACTTCCATTCAGAAGTCACTTGGGGTAGCTTTGATATTAAAAAACTCAAAATTTGCCAAGCAACACTTCGCCCTATAGCTGAACGAAGACATATTCATATATAGGCAGGTACATCTGTTACCTCAAAACACTGTGATAGGTCTGTGCTTACGAAATTTAACACACCTCCAATGTTGCCAACAAGCCTTTTAGATTTCCCCGCGGTAAATTTTAAAAATACTTGATTTTACCCGATCCATTACCTTAAATTTTCCGAATATTTACCTAAGCTTTAAAATGAATAGGGAATGAAATTAAAGTAAAAAATTGGAGTGTTTTATTTTTAATTTCTTTTACCATACATTAATATTCCACATAGAATTATGTGGTTCAAAATTTTAAACTTTTTTTTTACTGTTTCTATCATTAATGTGGCTGACATGAAGTTCTTGATATTTTTCCATGTAGACGTTTTTTGAAAGGTTAGTTATTGTTTGAATATCTATTGTTCTGTCTGATTACATGTTCTTGAGGTAAAACTCTGAAAAGGCCTTTTTCTGAAGCTAAGAATAATTACCTATTACTAAAGTCCTCCCTATTTTTATCAATCCAGCTAATGATCTTTAAGTAAAGTCAAAAACTTACTTGCGTTATTCGATACCCTATCATACAACACTATTTTCCAATTTGAATCTTTCACAACAGTGTCAAGAGGCTGTAATGGTTTGTTTGACACTGAAATATTTAATGCCCATCACAAAAAAAGTTATATTTCAAATATCTCAGCTAAGAGCTTGTCTGCACATGACGAGTAAACTTTAACGTGCCCATCGAGGTGGTTAAAGTTGTGTGCACACGGAGTGTTACACCGACAATTTACGAACGACATTATTATTTACCCAGTTCAAAATTATACCACTTTTCGAATGGCTAGTGTGCAGTCTGTATATTGCTTAGGGTAATTTCGAACGGCCTCTTGGAGTCTAGATATAAAAATCGAAAGCGCTTAGGGCGTCGATAACAAGAAACAGGCAGAGAAATACCTGAAAATTATTTCTTTCCCTGCCAGTAGATGTTACATCTTACAAGAATTATCAATTAATTAATATAATATACGATTGAGCATACTTCGTTTATTTTAAGGTCCTATCATATTTTTAATATTTTTCCCTTTCTTCTTAAATACCAGGTATTACCCGCTTCCATATTTTTACCCAATGTCTATATCGAAATACCCATGTTTTGGGTATTTACCCGGATATCGGCAACATCGGCAGGTGTGACACCTCTGTACATACACAATCTATAGTCTCGGAAATTGTATTTAGAATTAACTACGTTTCGCACTGCACCTTGTATATAATTTTATATACTGAACATATCCGCCAGATGTGGTGGATGTTTATTTCAATTAGAAATGTAATAAAATAACATAACACAAAACTTACGCATATCCTTTCCATTAGTAAATAATCTAATGTCGACCTGGAAAATTAGTTAACATTGTTGAAGAAAGTATAAATACATGTTTTAGAGTTATTAGACCAATGCAGACACTAAAAGATGATTACAAAAAGTACCACAAACGTATCTCCACACAACCTGTCTATGTTTATGTTTAAATAATATCAACCGGCAAAAGAAACGATCAATTTTCTGGATGAATGAACCGAGTAGCGAGCTTGTTCGACTAAAACTGACGATATTGCGTGTGACAGAAAAGTCTGAACAAAGGCGTACTACCGGGGATACTTTATTATCCAAGAATAAATCAGTAATAATTTATTTCGGGAGAGAAATCAATGAAAATATGTGATTAGACATGTATAAGTTATAAATATACAAGAAAAATATTTTATTGTGTTTACAGCTAAATGTCAACCAGTAAATTAAGTTAAATATTCAGTAGGTAATGTTCCTTATCAATTTAAAAAGTGAAGAAATATATTTCTAAAGCAGAAATTCTTCAGCTGGTGTGATATTAAGGATGATAGCGTGTCCTTCCACCGAGACAACTTGGGTTTAAAATCGGGTTGGACTGATTGTGAGTCTATGAGATATCAGTGGCGGTTCGTGGGTCAAGAGATAGGGAGGTCAATTAGAAAAGTTTACTGTATTACCTACCTTTTAAAGTGATTTAAATTCCAAGTCGATCCTCCGGTCTTCTAGAGATGCAAAGTGGTCAATTACTTTTTCATTAAAGTCTTTTATCTTCTTTATTAATGCCCTTTCTATGGTAAGCATAGCTAAAGAAGATAACCTTTCCTGACCCATGGTATTTCTTAAAAATGCCTTTATTCTTTTTAAGGTGGAGAAACAACGTTCACTTTCGACGGTAGCCATAGGGAGAGTACGTACACAAGATTATTAACAGTTTAACACTTCCAGAAAAAGTATTGCACAAATTGTTGTTAATAAAAGCTGTAACAAAGCAACTGCACCTTCACTATTGGAAAAATCTTCTCGGCTATATAATACTTCTAATTCAGTTTTAAGTTTCAAATGATTTATGACTAGGTACCCCGTTTTAACTAATTTAAACATATCTTGAGGAAAGCTTTTCTTATAATCTTTAAATCGATCTGCGTGAAATAACTGAGACACTGCTAAATGATTACTGAAGCCAAACCTGTTTTTGATCTCAGATGTAATTATATCACAAAC